CCCGAACTGATTCGTCCTTGCCCAAGGCATTGATTTGATGGGCTAAACGCACCATCATAGGCCTCGTCAAGGAATTTAGCGATTTGGGTCGGTTTATTGTGATCGTGGCGATGCCGTTTCGGTCTCGAGTGACCAGGATGAGGTTTTCGATTCGGGTTTGATCCATTTTCAAGTCGGAGAAGTGAACGTTACTCGTCTTTCGGTGGCTTGATTGATCTGAATGACGTTTTTGTTGAGGTTTTGTTGTTTATTGGTTTACGTGTAAGAAAGCTTAGTGGGCATGGTCTGAGTAACTGTGACGACCACTTGAATTATAGGGTTTTGGACTTTGGAATTGGATATGATCAGAATCAACGTCGTGACTTTGCCTTGATAAGTGTTCTAACCAGTGCTACCCTCTACCCCCCGCCGTATAAGGCAAATCTTAAAATTGCTAAAATTGGAGTCTTCTATTTTGATTCCTTAATAGAAAATATTAAATTTTCTGAAAAAACGACGTTGTTTATGGGGAAAAAAAAGAAGAAAAAAGACGTGCAATTTGATGTCTAGAGATAAAATTGTAATTGTGAGAGAGCATATTTAAATTTTACCGAGTAATATAAAGTTACAGTGCGAAGCAATCATCATAGTCGTAATGTGTACTGAACATGACAGAGAATTGGTCAGGTGGTTAATTTTTGACTTAACTAGAAAAATTAGCGGTAAATGTGCGAGTGTTGTGAAGTTGTCACTATTTTTAATTTAGAAATATTTCTAAATTTTTTTAAATTTTTTTGAATTTTTTTTTATAATTTTAAATTATTTTGATGTATAAAAGTGAGAAATAAATTTTAAAAAATAAAAAAAATATAATATTTTAATATATTTTTAAATAAAAATATTTTAAAAGACTAACCTATTCAATCCAAAACACTAATTTAAATTTTTAATTATCTTTGCAACACATCATAAATGGATTATTTTAATGTTATTTAAGATAGAATATAATACTTTAGTTTTTAGTTTTAAGTATTTTTTATATTTTGATTAATATGGATATTCAGATTAATTTTCATGTATTTGACTTATTCTACAAGTTTAAAAGTTAACAACCATGTAAGTTTTCAATAATTCTGATATTTATAAAACTTGAACTTTTTATTTTTAAAAAACAAATCTAGAGCTTGAAGTTGAGTATATTTTTTATAATTTTTTAAATATTTATTTAGAAGAGAGAGATATATATATAATTTTAGAAAATGCATGCAATAAAAAATAAGATTTGAAATAGAATTTAAGACTCAAAGTGCTATAGAGGGTGTTATAGCTCGCACTTCTGTTATGCTTTGGGACGGGTTTCTGTTTGCGTCCATGTAAAAAGGCAGGCTCCAAAGCCAACTAGCACTTATCACTATGCCTGACAATGCTCGCACCAATGGGTTATGCCTGTATAGACCTCCAGGAATTGGTAATTCCGCGATGAGCATTTTTAACCCATAATTATGCATTATTGTTATTCCACGTAGCAATGATTAATCTTTTAAATATTAAACTGTGCAAGCAATGATATTCCAGAGGCAAAGGGTCACCCTAGCTATAATCAGTGAATTCATCTCAGTTAGATAACACCATCAATGAGTGAAGTCTGTGAAATCCCCACTTTCGCAAAACTAACAAATTTAGAACATAGATTTTGAGTGCTTTCTAAACCGAGAATAAAGATTAACTAAAAGATAAAGAATTTGCTGGTAAAAACACCATCTGCGAGGCTATGTAGCTTGAAGAATTTAGAAAAAAACTCCTTTTTTTTATAATTCTTTTTGGACTTGAAAATAGCAGTCTGAGGACAATAAATGTCTCTTTATTCAATAAAACTGATCGACATTCCTTCTCACAGTCATTACAAACACTCAGCATCACATTGTGGAATTCTCGTCATTTATGTGAACAATTCAAGAATTCAGAATTTGTTGGATATTCATCGGTGATCTGTAATTTAAGCCGCCACGCATCAGATGTTTTGCTGCAATTAGATTTCCAGTTTCAGTTAGATGGTAAGGATCCCGAAAGACATACTTTGTTCTGTCAGGACAAGCTAGTGACATATTTCCACATGGTAGCAGTCCCCCATGAGGTCCTATAAGATGGCAGCAAGCATAGTTCGCATTCTCGAAGCCTGTGAAACAAAAATGAATGATAAGTCAATTATAATCATGCAGAACTTTAAGCATTCCCAGTATGAACATAATGTGCTGCAACGACCACGCACCATATGGTATAAATATCAGCATAGATATATCTTTTCCATTTATTTATTGAATAAAAATACTCAGATCAGAATTTTGGCAACCAGCCTCTGTTTTTTTAGTTGAACTAGCTAAGAATTTAGGTCTTGGCGCAACACCTTGGATTGGAACTCCTGAGTTTTAATTAAAAATTTAATATAAAATAAGGGAGGCGTTTGAGATTTTTATTTACATCTTCAAATTTAAATCCCGAAAAATGTGGAGAAGGGATTTAAGTAGTATGGCTTTAAAACCGGTTAGCCTTCAAATAAACCAATAATAATAATAATAATTAAAAGGGCATTAAATAAAGATTTTTCAAGCACTTTTTTTGAATATAAGTAGCTATATAAAAACGCAATGTGATAAAAAAATTAATATTATATTATCATTTTGAAAAGAAAAGAAATCATCCTCTTGAGTCCCAACGGATTTATTTTACTGGGTCGGTTTTTTTACTCCAAAGAAGCAAAAGACACTAGAAAACACCATAACTAGCAATGAGTTTTTTTCTTTTCTTTTATCTGAATAATAACAATCTTTTTTAAATTGTTACTTTTTTATGTTTCTAAATTATTTTGATATGTTAAAATTAAAATTAAATTTTTAAAAATATTATTTTAATGAATACAAGTTTAAATCAGAGCACTTTAAAAAATTAAAAATAGTTTGTCAAGCAACTTTCTCACGCTGAAGCATATTAACAGCTAATTCTACCTTTCAAAATAGATTCAACTCCAAAAGAAGATCATAAATATCTCCTCTCCCACTGTCTTTTTTTATAACCTTCAATTCTTTTTCATCACCCTTCACTCAGAATTGAACATAATCCTATTAGCACAACTATTTCCTTAAACATCATGGATATTTCTTCTTAATTTGCCTCCTTATATGTCCCTTAAACCAACCCACATTGTTGCCTTTGCTACCATTTCAGTTATTACCGTATCTTTTTCAGGCCATGTTGATGGCTTGTCTGCACAAACAGTTATAGACTTTCCTTTGTTGACGCAAAAATTGACACCTATCGGATGATCAAGGTCGATATCAATGGCGATGGAGATTTTACGTCGATCCAAGAGGCCATAAACGCTGTTCTTAAAAACAATTCTCAATGGATTATCATCCATATATATCAGGAAAGGAGTTTATAGGTAAATAATTAATATTAGCCCTTCTTTGCTGGTTAATTAATTAGAAGAGAATGAGATCTTTAACTAAAGAGTTACACAGTTTTTGCTGCCAGAGAAAAGATACAATTCCAAAGAATAAGCCTTGTATATTCATGAGAGGGAATGGTAAAGGAAGGACAGCCATTGTCTGGTCCCAAAGCTCTGTTAATATTAAGGCATCTGCAACATTTACCGTCGAAGCCCCCAATTTCGTTGCTTTCGGTATTAGCTTCAAGGTCTTTACACATCTTAATCTGTGTGCGTGAGTGTGTATTTCTGTTATTTGGTATAGATCTGTATATATGCAAGGAAAGAAAATTTAAAATTTATCAACTTTATCCTAGTATTAGAGCTCATTCCATCCGTGTGAATTTGCTTTTGATTTTATGTTCCCTCAGTATCTGTTATTAAATGCAGCTTGAGGCACTAACTAGGGCCAGTCTGTGGCAGCATTTGTTGGTTCAGACATGGCTGCATTCCATCAATGTGGGTTCTACAGCACCCATAACACTTTATTTTATTATAAAGGCAGGCATTACTATATGAAAATTGCTACGTTCAAGGCTTAGCTGACTTCTTTGGCCGTGGCAGGTCCATTTTCCATGCAAGTGCGCCAAATCGATGGTGAGTACTTCATTTTTTGGATCAAAATTAATTATAATCATGGATATAATTTTGTTGTTTCAAATTAATGAGGACCTGCAGAGCTGTGAGGTTTATGGCATTGGTAATGCGTACATAGGAAGAGCAAAGGGTGCCTATTCCAGGGTGGTTTTCGTGAAGGCCTATCTTTCCAAGACCATTTCACCTCAGGGCTGGACTTATTGGAGCTGTGCTGGCGACTGACAGTAAGAAATTTCCTTTTGCTTAAGCATTCATCTATAAATATGAGCCTTGATTAATATCATTTCTTGTGTTCAAGATTTGCATGCTGATATTCTTTATGTAATCTATTAATCTGATGTAAATAAATTAATGCTTGCTTCATGAATTATAACAGAAGTCTTAAACAGGCAGAAGACGAGTGCCATGGACCAGGAGCCGATTCTGAAAACCACGCCCCTTGGTCGAAACAACTTACTGAAGAAGAAGCTAGAAGTTTCATGTCCGTTGATTTCATTACTGGCAAAGAATGGCTCCCAGCTTGGCAGAATTAGATTGTTGGCGATTAGTAACACAGATGCCCCTGTAATAATACTGTTGATTCCAGAGCTGGCATTCTCCAGTCTAGTGAACTTGCATGTAATACGTTGTCAGTATCGTGGGGAATCTACGTACCCAAATCTCTAGCTAGGTTTTTCATAACTACTTCAGCCTCTAGGTCTACACTTCCCTGAATCAGGCGACGTCCTTGATTTGCTGTGCCAAGTCACTTGAAAGAAGCTAATTTTATAATGATGCATTTCAACCTTTCCGGTATATGTTCAGATTCGCTTTTCTAGCTTCTTGTTTGTAATTTCGATTCTACTTCCAAGAGAATGTCCGCTTGCATAAAGTGATGCGGATAATTTCAATTTCTTCCTCTTGTAAAGGATTGAATGTGTGTGTGTGTGTGAGAAAATGATGCAAGATAATACAAACTTTATTTATTCGTTCGTGCTAAGATCTTCATTACAAGGTCACAACATGATAAAACTATTGATACATAATACGATTGCAAATATCCCATGCACAAGCATGACGTTACAATCTCGCTTAATTTAGGAATTAATGCCCGCCACCAAAACCTCCTCCCCCACCTTTGCCTCCTCCAAATCCACCGCCACCTCCGGCTCCTCCACCAAATCCTCCTCCTGCACCACCACCACCTCCGGCTCCACCTCCAATGCCTCCACCACCACCCTTGCCACCTCCAAAGCCACCACCGGCTCCACCTCCTGCACCCCCACCGACACCAACACCTCCTCCGGTACCACCTCCGAAGCCACCACCAGAGCCCCCACCTACACCACCACCAATGCCCCCGCCTTTGCCACCTCCAATACCTCCGCCGCCACCCTTGCCTCCTCCTAAGCCACCGCCAGCACCACCCCCAATGCCCCCGCCTTTGCCACCTCCAATACCTCCGCCGCCACCCTTGCCTCCTCCTAAGCCACCGCCAGCACCACCCCCAATGCCCCCGCCTTTTCCACCTCCAATACCTCCGCCGCCACCCTTGCCTCCTCCAAAGCCACCGCCAGCACCACCCCCAATGCCCCCGCCTTTGCCACCTCCAATACCTCCACCGCCACCCTTGCCTCCTCCTAAGCCACCGCCTGCACCACCACCTCCTCCAACACCGCCACCTATTCCTCCACCTTTTCCTCCTCCGAGGCCACCACCAGAACCCCCACCTACACCACCCCCAATGCCGCCGCCTTTGCCACCTCCAATACCTCCACCACCACCAGCACCACCCCCAATGCCTCCACCTTTGCCACCTCCAATGCCTCCACCTTTGCCACCTCCAATACCTCCACCGCCACCCTTGCCTCCTCCGAAACCACCGCCTGCACCACCTCCTCCTCCAACACCGCCACCTATTCCTCCACCTTTTCCTCCTCCGAGGCCACCACCAGAACCCCCACCTACACCACCCCCAATGCCCCCGCCTTTGCCACCTCCAATACCTCCACCCTTGCCTCCTCCGAAGCCACCGCCAGCACCACCCCCTCCTCCAACACCGCCACCTATTCCTCCACCTTTGCCTCCTCCAAGGCCACCACCACCACCAAAGCCTCCACCTCCTCCAGCACCACCTCCTAAGCCATCTTTTTCTATTTTTCTACACTCTGCTAACCCTAACACTAGCACAAACACCACAGCTAAAACGCCAACATATTTGCTCGAAAATCTCCCCATCTTTCAAATTTCTCTAGAGGAGGAGGGAATGTTTTGCTTGGTTATGAGAAGATCATCAGTAGGGCGAGCTTATTTATACTGAAGACCAGCTAATAGTAAAGCATTAAAGACGCAGTTTGATTAAATCAAGATTTATTTCTTTCTATCAATATATCTGCATTATACACGGACTCTATGGATTGTTGTTTTAACGAAATGGCGCAGCAAAAATTCAACTCTCTTTCAGCATGGCACTTATTGGCCGGTGAGCTCATTAAGATGCTGTCCTTAGCTCTCAACTACTCACCCATTGTGCAAGTACCTCTCTCTTTCACTCACCGCCCCTTCTATCTCCACACGCGCGCTCGCGCACAACGAAAGACGAAGATTAGGATTCGTATAGCAATAAACCACGGAATAATTCTGCTCCAGAGGAGATACATACATATATATATATATAAGGCCCACGCTATTAATTGAGGAGGCGCGTGAACAATTATGGAATCAAGAATTTTTTCTATCTTTGGCTGTAAAATAAATATTCACAAATTATTTTTCAAGATTAATTATTAATTTATATATATATATATATATATATATTAAATTAATAATAAAATTTCAATCCAAATAAATAATATAAAATATAAAAAAATAAAATTCAAAGTACTTGAAATTTTTAAAAATAATATTCATATTATAAAATTTTTTATGATAAATCACATTAATCTAATAATATTATAGATGAGATATCAAATCATGTATCTGTTATTAATTAAAATTTTCAAGATGAAATGTTTTAGCAAACTTGTAAATAATATCAACTTTAAATGATTTAAAGTTGTTTTTAAATTTTAAAACAAAGCAAACTACATGAATTTTATTATCCCATCACTTAATTTAAAATTTCATTTTTTCAAATGATAATCTATTATTGAGTTAAATATATCATGATGATAATATTGATAAACTATCACTGATCCTTATTAGTGACATAAATAACCTATAACTTTTTTATACTAAGTATTCATACGTAATATGTTAATCTTATATTGTGTGAAAATATAGTGCACGTGTGCAAGGAAAATGTCAAATTTGATATCTTTTAAAGTTAAAGCAATGTTTTAGTAGTTGATATAAGATCCATTGCATTTAAGTTATTAAAAGATTTTTGCTTAAAAATCAACAAATTAAATTAATTATTCTCGTTATTTTATGCATCAAATATAAGAAAAATATAAAATAAAAGGATTTCATCACAATTAAATAACCACCAACTTCTCTACATATAAAGTTAGAAGATCCTTTTAGAACTATACTTTTAAATATAAGTCACCATATATATCTATTAAAATGTAAATAGAATGAAAAAGAGAGCTTCACCGAGTAGTTTCACTTCAATGTAAATTACTGATTTAATTAGCTCATCTGATATTTTTACATTTTGTTGTAGCTGAAACTCTAATTTGCAAAGGCATGTGAATTTGGTTGTCTTGCGACTAATTAGTTGTTTGTGTTTAGAATTTATGTGTTTTTTAGCAAAGGAAAATGAGAGTTTTTTTTTATTGAGTTTTGGGTTATTGAAAAGTTAATATGATTGTCTCATGACTAATTACTAAAAATCAAGATAGGTGGGTTATTAAATTTTTTATAATTTATTTTTTTACTTAGATTAAAGCCTTTTCGTATGACCTCTCAATAGCTAAATCTAGTCATAAATTGTCTAGATAAATATACAAACCTCTTTCGCATGTATGTCACATGTTGAGATATTATGGTTGAATTATTATTAGTGATTGATTATTTGTATTTTTTTTTTGACAATTAAAATACACAATTATTATTTATTTATTTGTTGTTTGTTGAGTCTATCTTAATAATGGGTCTGACATTATTATTAGATTCAAGTTATTTGAATCTAGTATAATTATTTAATCGAATTTGTTTGGATTATATATGATTTTCAGACTTAAGAGATTTATAAAAAAAATTATATTTTTTATATTAAAAAAATATTAACCAGCGGGACAATATGCTATTATGCGTGGCTTCTTTAATTTCTTTTAATTAGAGCTATTAGGGTAAATTAACATATATAGATGGTAAAATATACACATCCTCGATCTAACTTCTCTCATTCTGGTTTCGATCACGCAAGTTGAGGTCGTAAGATTGCATTCCCTCGTGGATTTTTATAGTTCTAGATTCGATGGCTTGGACCTTTGACATGACCGTGCATGGATGTAATCTTGATTTTGGAAGGGCACGGACTAACTGGCCTAGGAATAAATCATAATAGAATGACTAGTTAATTGGTTGGAAAATGATATAAAATTTATCTACAACTGGTGTGGATCCGAACTCGATCTCTTCATTTAAAAAAAAAAATTGTTCAAAGATTACATACAGCATGACCATCAAGATATAAAGAGAGTGTATGATTTGGGAGTGTTTTAAAATGCAGATGTTTTTTTTTTAAAAAAATTTTAAAAATAAATTAAAATAATATTTTTTATTTTTTTAAAAAAAATCAATATTAGTATATTAAAATAATTTTAAAAAATTAAAACTCTTTTAAAATATAAAAACTTATACTATTTATGACATTGCTGACTTTTTACTAAAAAATGTCAGTTTGCTTAAAAATGTCAGATAACGCCGCGGCAAATAGGCTGTGGTGAGGGTCCTTTCCATGCTCGTTTTGGCTAGGCGAAAACCCAGCCATAATTTTTCAAACTTCATTTAAATAACCAGTACTACCGACAGTACAGGGCTGTTTAAAAAAAATATATTAAAAAAACAACCGACTTGCCAGTATTTTCTATATAGCCAGCTGGACTGGGTCCCCGGCCGACCAGCCCCTCCCCCACGGACGTGTACCCTCCTCCCCGGTGATTATCTTCTTCCAGCTGGTTTCTTCTTTGTGGCTACTATGATCTTTAAAGCTACGACTATACCGGGAACCAAATTATGATCAAGTCCTTTAACTATACTTCGAAATACTTGTGAATAGATTAAGAGTACTGTTTATGCACTTGACATGCACAATGGTGACGAGAGTCCGAATAAAAGAGATTGTCTAATTCAAAAACTCATGAGATATTAATAGTAATTTTATGTTTTCTCGACATGTGTTTTTGAGAAAAAATTATTTAAATTTAAAACCTGTCTGAAATCTCTGTTACTGTACACTTAATTTTTAATTGAATTAGAAATGACAAGGATAAAGGTTTGATTATGAAGATTCTGATACTTGTCAACTAATTATCTCGGTCAAGGGAATAAGTTTTTAAATGAGATATTGAAAATGGTTTAATATTATTTTATAGCAATTTGAATGATTATCAAACCTCAACTGCCTCTTGAATTGAAGATTTTATTTTTAATTAAAATTTAATCATTCATTATGCACGAGTATCTTCACTGAAAATCCATGACATGATGAATGATCAAGAAAACTAACTCGTAACTGGGGAGTCAATATATTTATTTTTTACTAAATATACGGTTCAATGGTACCCTTTAATAAATCTTTTGGCGCGGACCGCCACGTGGTGCACATCTAGGTAACTCTTTCATGTGGGCTTGGATGTATAAATACTCACCTCGATTTCTTCTGTGCTCCGTGGTCAACAGAGGGCTTCCTGCAGCCCATGTAATTACAGTGCGAATATGGGTAAAAGTATGATTTATTGAGGTATGAATTTAGCCCATGTAATTCTATTTATTTACATCTTCGTCATTAATTTTTGTCTTCATATTTCAGTTGTTAATATGGCAAAAGGTTGGCTTTGGTCCTTGGTGTTTATGAAGGAGTTCAATTTGGCCCCTGATCATATAACAAAACACAACACAGCAATTAAAAAAAAAAATTGAAGGGGAAGGGAAAACCAATGCTTGTGTAGCTCAAATTACTATTTACCATGACAGTTTAATTATCAATTTGCTATTCCTGGAAAAAACACAAATGTCTTGCTGATAGGAATATTTTGGTATTTTCATGCTATATACTAGTTATTAGAGGATTAACTAAAAGTATTTATTTTTTATAATTTTTAAATCATGATAAAATATCTCAACTATCTTTAAAGTCATTCTTTTTAAATAAAGATAAGGATATCTTTGTCTTTTGATTTTTTTACGAGATAAAATAACAACTTTACCTTAAAAATAAAAACATGTGTCTATATGGTTTTTGGTATTTCCACCATGTTTTTTTTACTAGATTTATGAAGGGTGATTTGATTTTTTAATGTAGATTAAATGTTGTTTTAGTTTGAAAAAATTATAGGCGTACAAAAGATGCCCACATACTCCAAGGGTCACTTGCAACATTTCTATAAAGCAAAAAATTCCATTTTCATTGTGCCAATGAAGCAATATCATATCTCCATCTTATTATTGATGGTGTTGAGGCGATTTGTTATTATAGGACCTTGCCTTGTCTTTTATTTTTTTTTCTTTTTTTTCTGTAAATCACATATTAATTTTTTTTATTATTGATATTTTAACTTTAATAATTATTTCTTTGATTTAGAATTTTTAATCTTTGTTGTTTTGTTAAGGTTTTATTTGCTGTCAATTTAAACTCTGGTTCTAAATTATCATATATTTTTTTTTAATTTGATTTTTATTTTTTTATGCTGGGTCTTTTATAAAATTTTTATTGGTTTTCAATTTCACAACTTAATCCAGATTTATGGTGTATTATATTTTTTCAATTTTATCGTTATTTTTTTTATTTTTTTATCATCCTGTTATAATTATTTTTCTTTTCAATGTCACCCTCTAACAAAATACTTGTAGTTGCCCTCTATTTTTTTTTTATCTTTACTCTTTTAGTTACTATTTCTTTATTTTTGATCTTTTTGCGTGTTTTATTTCTTTATTTCATTTTTCCATGTTTTATTTATTGATGATTGTGGTTTTTTCATATATGGTGCTTTCAATCTAACAACCTAAGTCACGATTTTAAAAAGTTAATGGAGGCTAATATTTTTTTTATTTTTTTCGATTTCATCATTCAACATGTTTTTTTTTAAATAAATTTGCAATTTTTTTTTATTTTGTTTATATTAGATCATCTCAACCTCATGACCTAAAATACGATTCT